ATTCACGCTCAATTGGTACCATATAGTAACCGCTACGGCGTGCAGCCCGATCCGTATATCTCTAACAATAACTGAAATCAAAGTAACCGCTGCGGCGTGCAACCCGATCCATGCATCGCTGTGGCGCACAACCCGATCCATATATATATACACATTGCTGAGCGTGCAGCCCGATCCATAGATATATAATCCTCACAACTAGGCCCTCGGCCTCTCTTAGTCATTAACCTCACCATCAGACTTTCAGTCTATCTCAGTCATCAATCTCACAATCAGACCCTCGGTCTATCTCAGTAAAACAGGGAACTCAACCCAAAACAATTTTCACATTTTAAGAACATAGTGATAAAGCCAGATTTGAGCAGTAAATAGGTAAAACATGACTGAGAATATGCTTTCAAATAAATAGAGTGAGTAAAGATAGTAAAAATGCCCCTAAGGGTCTCAACAAGTCAGCACAAGGCCCCAACGTGGCATACAGCCCAAAAATATAATAATGTCAAACAATTAACTATCAAATATGCATTAAAATATTCGTTCGGGATGGACTAGGTCACAATCCCCAGCGGTGCTCTACCCCACGCTCGTCATCCAGCGTGCAAGTCACCTCAAAGTAACACGATGACGTATAATCCGAGGTTTCAAACCCTCAGGACAGTATTTACAATCCTTACTTACCTCGATCCGGTCCAAAATCTAGCCCGCGATGCCTCGCCCGCATGAATCAACCTCTGGATGCTCTAAATCTAGCCACAATCAGTACATAATCATTAAAATATGCTAAGGGAGCGAAGCCCACTCGAAAATATCCAATTTAACATCAAAATCGCGAAATTGCTCAAACCCGACCCACGCTTCGGAATTCGACGAAACTCACAAAATCCGACAACCCATTAAACCACGAGTCCAACCATACCAAAATTACTAAATTTCGATAACAATTCGGCCTCCAAATCTAGAATTTTTCGTTTTTGAAAAGTTTACAAATTTTCTCCAATTTCTTCCATTTGATTCACTAATTCTTGATGAAAATAACCATGGAATCATTAAATATAATCACTTTTGAATATAAAACACTTACCCCAATCCATATGGTAAAAATCGCTTCAATCCGAGCTTCATAGCTCCAAAAATAAGAAAACTCTCGGACTGCCCGAATCATACACTGTCCAAAAAATTTCGCGGTTACTGTTCACGCATTTACTGTTCACGGGTACTGTATACGGGGGTACTGTTCATATGTACTATACACGGGTACTGTACACGGATACTGTTCATGTTATTGTACACAGATACTGTTCACGCAGGTGCGGTTACTGTTCACACGTGCGAAAAATGCAGAAACTGCCCAGAAAATTACAACAGTTTTTCTTTTCACTAAAAAGGCTCTAACTCCATCATACGAACTCGGAATTCGATGATTCTTATTCCTATGAGTCACAAATAATAATACGAACATAGCCCTTCAGTCGAAACTCAATTCGGAGCTCATTTGCTTAGTTCAATACCCATTTCGCTCGTTAAATAATTAACTCATATTTCGTGTCAAAAACCCAATCGCGACTTGATGAAATTAGACAAAACTTTTTAGATCAGTCCTATAATTCATTATCAAAATTCCGGAAGTCTCAAAATCAAATTTTGATCTCTAGAACTAAAAATGGACCTTTGGATCATTACATGCTTATGCTCAAAACGGCAAAAATCTTCCAAAACTTATCCTAGCCTCATGGGACCCCGACCAAACATGCCAACATAATTCATAACATCATTCAAACCTATTCCAATCATCAAAACACCTCAAACAATATCAAATTACCCAAAACTCATCGAATTCAAGCCTGAGTTTCCAAAAACTTTCGAAATATACTTTCGATCAAAAACCCTACCAAACGATGTCCGAATAACCTGAAATTTTGCACACACATCACAAATGACATAACGAAGCTACAACAACTATTGGAATTCCATTCCGACCCTCGGATCAAAATCTCACCTATCAACCGGAATTCGCCAAAATACTAACTTTGCCAATTCAAACCAAATCCTTCCACGGACTTCCAAAATGCATTCCGATCACGCTTCTAAGTCATAAATCACCCAACGAAACTATCCAAATCATAAAATTTCCGATCCGAGCTTATAAACAAAAAAGTCAACTCTTAGTCAACCTTTCAAATTCAAAGCTTTCAACTGAGACTGTTTCTTCAAATTCATTCTGATTTTTTCCTGAAAACCAAAACCAATGATCTACATCAGTCATAATATGTTACACGAGGCAAGTCATGCCCGAGAACTGGCGATCAAAGTACAAAAGCTCAAAATGACCGGTCGTGTCGTTACATATATTTTTTCTCTGAGATTGGTGTGTAAAATGAGAGCCGAAGCTCTCCTTTTTATAGGCAGAGCCTCGCCTACTACATTTGACATTTCCTTCTGCACGCCTACCGAATTTGACACAAAAAAAGAAAGAAACGTGGGCTGCTAATCAAGGAAGAATTTCTTCCTTGATTTATGGGATGGATCCCACAAGTAATACAGCCAAAGCACATGTTCATAGTTTGGTTGGCTAATCAAAAGAAATTGCTCTTAAAGGAGAGATTGCAGTACATACACATAACAGTGACATACAATACATGCAGCTAATATGGGAATGGAGCAGTGAAAACAGTGCAACACCTATCTGTGAATTGTGAGTGGATAGAAAAGATGAGAAGTGTGATAAGTCAATGGACATGTATTCAATTGATAGTCAGGGGAGTTACACAGAGCCTACATTGGTTGATAAGCAGGAAATGGAAACAACTGAAGAAAGAAGTAGTAGAATCCATATAAGGGCAGCAACATACCACACATGACAGACACAGAATTGGAAGATATTCAGGAACACAATTGTGAATACAGATATAGCAAATGCACAGCTAAAAAAGGAGCTCAAATACAGATTAGAGGATATACTAATAGGTAGGAAAACACAGCAATGGAGACAATTACTGAACATGTTATGTAATTAGAGGAAAGATTAGAGGTTAGTTTGTGTAGTTAGCAGCATTTTTGTTTCTATTTTTTTTTTTTTTTTTTTTTTTTTTTTTTTTTTTTTTTTTGTATTTGGAGGTTTAAATGTAGAGATGAGTGAACTGGAGCTATCTGAGCTTAAGAGATGTACTAATGTGGTTTGTTAATGGTAATATTTTATATTTATTACCAAAAAAAACTCTCTCCATTCCATATTCGTTATTTACCCTTTTCTTTACAAAAAAATATGTTATTATAATCTTTTATAAAGTTTTATAAGGTATTTTAGTTATTTTAAGAAAAGAACAGCTTATAAACATTTTTTTTACCAAACACATCAACTGCTTATTATCAATCTCAACACTTCTTTTCAAATACGTAAAAACATATTTAACAAATCAGTTTCAGCACTGCAAGCATAGGCGGATCCACCCCTTTAGGAAGAGGTGGCATGGCACCCGCTAAGATAATAATTCTTTTACATATCGATGCTAAAAAAATTTAAAACTATATTAAATATTTGATTTTGTCACCCGCAGTCGTCAACTAGACAAAGGTACCATGGCTGGTAGATCTTTTAAAAAGTTTTTTTCTAGTGTAAAATTCATTTTCTTGGAATTTATCTTGAACCTTATTTGACTTCCCCATTTTTTGTGCTTTTTATTTCCTTTTGTCCCGGTCATTTGCCCTTTTTCTTAATTTTACTAATTTTATATGTAGTATCTAGCATGAACGCTCAAAAAAGAGACTCCAAAACTTTAAAATTATATAAAATAAGCATTACTCTTAATCTTAAATTTATGAGTTTTCTTCTTTCAAATCCGAAAAAGTTGGGTCTTAATGGGAATTTTTGATTGAGAAAAAAAATCATCTTTTTTTAATTATATCATAAATATTTGTGTTATTGTATGGTTATTTAATATAACTTAATTTCTTTACTATTAAATTATAATAAAAATTTAGTAAGCATTGCTTAAAAAATGAGATTTATGATTTTGATTATTAGGAACTTGTACTTTATTTACTTTTGTACTTATGGGTATAATTTATTTATAGAAGATATTTTTTAAAAAATTTCTTATTCTAATTGATGTAATTCCTTTATGAAGATGTTATCTTACTTGTGTAAATTTATTTTTAATATACAGAAAAAGATGTAATTTCCTAGTAAAATGTTGGTTTTACTTGTATTGTTATAATAAATGTGTTATTCTTTAGTTAAAATACTAATAACGTTTGTTTTTTAATTTTTGAGATGTAATTTTTATATTTGTAAATAAAAAATACCTATTAGGTTGACCTGAATAACTCAGAAAAATCGAATAAACATTCCTAACAAATTTCATATTAGTCATTACAAGGTATTTAAAGTAAATTATGGCACTTGCCACCTTAAAATCCTAGATCGGCCTTTAACTGAAAACTTATCAACTATTTACAATCAGCTAGGCTTCTACCCGCAAGCTTATCAACTATTTAAAATCCGCTAATACAAGTGAGGTCTAAGAGTCAACTTAAGAAAATGCATACAATCCAGATCTAAACATGTAGGTTCATATCTATATAAACAGCTATGGTGAAAGCAAGTATATATCCTTAATCCTTTCTATTTACGTTCTTCTTGTTTACCAAAGAAACTAAAGACAGATGGCGGAAAAAATATTGGTTGCAGCGGTGAGTCCAGCCGCTACTAAAGCAGTAAACTTTCTGGTGGACAGCGTTTCGAAACTGCTGATTGAAAATTGTAAGCTGATAGAAGGTGCAGAGGGGGATTTCAAGCGTTTGTTGCGTGAGATCGAACCCCTAAATGAGTTACTAGCTGCAGATTATGCAGAGGTGAAAAGCAATAGCATGATCAACTCGGATAAGTTTTTCCAGAACATCCAACGCACAGCGTATAAAGCTGAGGATGCCATTGACAAATTCCTGGTTCAGAAAATGATTGACCAGGACAAGACAATCGCTAAATTCCTTCCATTCTACAAATGGATCAATAATTGGAAAATGGCACCGGAGTTCAAAGAAATTCTTGAAGAAATGGGGGAAATTCGCCAACTCAGTCAACAAGCTTTTCAGAAAAGCACACAAACTACTCAGCACCCTGACAAAAGTGCCAGTGATGCCCAGGAAACGCAGGTATGCCTGAAACCCAACAATCTTGAAAACTTCTCTAAATAGAAGCTTTTTTCATCTTCTTTTTCAAATAAATTAGATATAAAAGTCAAACCTTAGTATAAAAGTCTCGTTTATTCCAAATATTTTTGGATATTATAAAGAAACGTTGTTATAGATAGGGGTGTCAAATGAGCGGATTAAGTTGAATTTGGACGGATCAAAATGGATTAGGTTAATAAACGGGTACGTGCCTTGTACGTGAATATTGCATCAATAATATGAATAATATTTACTAGTAAAACTTCTACCTATTATCAACCACTTTATGTTTGAATAGTTTTGCAAGTCCTTTCTATATAGTGGTAATCATGATAAAAGCAAATATATGCCTTTACCAGGATCTAGTAGCTCTAATTTGATTGATCCCTAAATTCTTATCTTACTACATATCCTTTTGATATTATGATGGTTAATTTGGAAACTTTCATTTATGTATCATTTGCCTAATTTACAATTACTGGGGAAATATTCAACCTGCAATGAAATTAGTGAAAGAAAATTTCTCTTTATTCTTAATTAAAAAGTTCTTTTGACGCACTGAGCATATGCTACTGAGAGAAGATTTTCACTATGTGCTCACTTGCGTTTCCTAAATTGACAACCTATTCAAAGGTAATAGCAGTGACGAAGCTAGAAATTTTTTCAAGGGTGTTCAAATTTAAAAGAAGTGAATTTTTTTTCAACAAAAGGTGTTCAATATGTATTATATACCTCTAAAACGTAATATTTTACTTATAATTATTAATAAAATTAAAACAGTAAATGAGGTAGAATTTAATCAAAAATATATAGATAGTTAAAATTATGAACTAAATAATAAATGTTGTAGCAGAACAAATTGATTCTCATTTAAAATAAAATTGTAATTTGGAAAAAAAAAATGTTGGAGCTTCCTAAACTCTCATGCTATAAGAATTGTCTCACAATTGATAAAAATATGTTAATATTAATCAAGGTGCTTGGTCCTGTCGTTACCCTTGAAAATAAATCTTGAATGTCAAGCATGTATTTCTAAAGTTTGTAATTTTTTTCATTACTTTTTTCTGATTTATATATTTTCATTCCTAATCATATTTAATACTATATGATAACTTTGATCTCTCTTTCATTCTCCTTGTTTGGGTTCAAGCGTTCTTTTCTTCATGTGAAGGATACATGAAAAAATATCACTCAGAGATCATACTCATTTTCTTTTAATCTCCCACTAAACCAATGAAAAAAAAATTAAATTAGAGTTTATTTATTTTGATAGCAATCTATGAATACTATATAAAACAACACACACAGTGTATATATACATAAGGATATGGTTGCTCAAGCACCCATTAACTTTGGAATCAAACACTAATATTTAGATTGAAAAATTAGTAATTTATATAAATTTATTAACTGAGCACCCAATCTTAATAGCAAATTCAAAGGAAAAATAAGCGACTAAGCAATATCCAATTTTTCTTTAACACTTGTACGCTTGAAGGACCATCCTCTACGGAATGGTACAAAGATAAGGTCTTTGATCTAACTCTTTTTTACATAGAAATGAAAATTCAAAAATTGAGAATTCATCTTTCGGATAACAATATTTTCTAGTAGTACCTACGGCAAAATGTCGGGAATATACATACTCATCATACATATTGACAGTACAATGCAATAAAAATTTCCCACTCAAATTTATTCAAAAAGAACTTGTGAATGAAAAACTCATAACAAAGATAATTTAGAAGAAGAGAACAAAACTCCTAAAGTGACATTGCGGGAATATGAACTGACCTTAATGAGTTTGAACTTTGAAACCTAGTCATTCTCTTCTTCCATTTCCTTTTTTAAATCTTATGGAAATTTTGTTTTTTTTTTTTTCTGTAAGAAAACAAACACTTAATATCTATTTACAATTTCATCTAATGTAGAATTTTTATATGAAGGGTAAAAAAGGTGAACAATATTTCGTTAAGGGGTTTCGTGCTTTAAACATAGTATAGATAGGTATAGATATAAATAAACGCCTTTGAAACTTTGTCTAGCCTCCCTTTTCATGGAGTTGAATGTCTTCCAATCTAACATTCATATAGATGAAGCTTTCTCATAATTAGTTTATGCTCCAATACATAAAATAACTATATGTATAATTATATAAATAACTATAAATCAACATGTATTGGAGTGTTGTTCGGAGAACGCTATTCCAAAATCGTCTTTAAATTGAATGATTTGATTTTGGTTTTAATCAATTTAAATAATATTAAAACTTTTTACATATTTAAATAAGGAAAATTTGAACTAAAATTTTAGTATATTTCAACCTCCTAAATATTAGGAAAAATAACTAAATGACTATTTTGTCTAGTGCGAAACAAACTTTTATAAGAGTAAAAAAGACGAACGATATTTCGCTAAGGTCTTCGTGCTTTTAATATAGTATAGATAGATATTGATAGATAGATAGAAAAAACTTTATTGCAACCTTAAATGGACAAATTTACCCCTTATATGATATTTTTATATTTACTTCTATTTTGGATAACAAAACTAATTTATTATTTTCAAGTTCTCATCAATGGATGCACAACATTTAATCTAATCTTGCTACCCAGTATGATATGTATAAGAAAACTATAATTTAATTAGTGAACGAATTTATCATTTAAGCTTCACTTTTTTTTTAAAAAATGGTGGCAAAACTATATTTTTCCGTTCTTTTGGACTTTCATCAATTAATTTAATTTAATTTCTTCAAATAAATTTCGGATCTTAAAAGAATGAGTATAAACAAATAATCCAAATAACTCTCTCTCTTTTTTTATGTATATTTTAAAATTGTATTTTCTTCTTCATTTGCTTAGGTATAAGAATTGAATATGATTTAAGCATACCGAGTGGCATATATAGATGAATTGATTGTAAGAATCCAATGAAAAAATTAAAATAGAATAAGTGAGTTTGCTAAAACCTATGTTTTGTGGACTCTCCAAAATGTTGTCGTACTCGTATCGGATCCTCCAAAAATATATTACTTTTGGAGAATTCGCCACGCACCCAGCAATATTTTCTGAGGGTCCGAGCAATATAGACCAGCCCCACATATTCATCGAACAAAATTAGAAAATAGCCAGATTTACAACTGGTCGTTTAAAAATAGTCCAGTTTCAAAAGTAATCGAAATTTAGCCACTTTTCATGTAAAGATAAATCTGAGCGAAAATACTGTTCAAAACTCGAAAAATACGCCAGTATATTATACTGGAGTTCCAGCATAAGTATGCTTGAACTCCAGCATATTATATTATACTGGAGTTCCAGCATAAGTATGCTTGAACTCCAGCATATTATATTGGAGTTTCAGGATAAGTATGCTGGAACCAGCATAAGTACAATAGAACTCTAACATAATATACTAGAGTTCCAGCAAGTATAATTGTCCAGTATAATATGCTGGAGTTCATACACAGGTGCACCGAACTCCAGTATATTATGCTGGACCGGTCTCTGTTGCAGCAAAATAGTGGCTATTTTTCATTGACTTCGTAAACGCTGGCTATTTTTGAATGACCAATCTGAAAACTGGCTATACCGTGCTATTTTTACATATTCATCTGCACCCTATCCAACTACGTCTACCTCAGTTCTAAGGATAAAAATTCAGTAGCTCAAGCTTCCTATATGTGCCGATGAGTTTCATCGAAAATAGATGTGATATATTTTCATTTTCAGTATATATAGAGGACAATTTTGTGGAATACTCAACCCCTATTGTAGCAACCTATCCTAGTCTTCAACTTCGCTTGTGCTATTAATCTCATTAAGAGTATCCATTTAGGAGCTCCAAGGTTATTATCAGTGGCGAAGCCGAAAAATTCAATAAACACTCTTTGCCAGTGGGCTATGCAAGGGTATTCAAAGTCTATTTTTAATCAATAACAAGTAATATTTTACCTTATACATAGTATAATTTTTCGGCGAAGGGCGATCAGTTAACCACCCTTGGGTCAACATAGCTTCACCTTAGGTTATTACACACTAATTTCTCCCATGACACCTTAGGGAAAACACCTCTAATCGAGATATACATTTTCTTGATAGAAATATTGTCATTGCCTGAAACTCAGCTTCCCCGATTCCTGCTTGTTCTACATACCTTCTAGTCTTCAAAATTTTCTGCACTACCCCGGCTTGGAGACATCATAGGAAGACCATCATCTCTATTCGGGTACGATCATAGCTTCATTCGTTGAACCTTAGGGACCACTATTAGCATTGAGTTCAATCACCACACTACCTCTATCATACATACGACATTACACGAAGCTTGTTTTAGTCCAGCTTGTTTATTTTAAGGTACAATAGAGTCTTGTAATACTAAATACAAGAGAAGGAAGGTTTGCATAACATCTAAAACCATAAGGGAACGAATTCCTATTTTTTGTAATCAAAATAACCAATATTTTCCGATCAAGTTAATATAACTTCTTGGAAGCGTTTAATTAGTTTGGAAATTTATATCACAAGACAAATATACTGCGAAGTTGTTACTACTCAACATGTTTAGATGGAATAGACTTTTATTTAGTTATAATCGCAACGAAAGAAGACTTTTAAATACTCGTGTTTTGATATCCAATCTATTTGATCATTTCAAAAGGGTCCTGCGGAGGAGGATATCGAAGTGGTTGGATTTGATGAGCCTGCAAACGAAGTGATGAAGCGACTTCGTGAAGGATCAGAGGATCTAGATGTTGTCCCTATTGTGGGCATGCCGGGGCTTGGCAAAACCACACTGGCAAGAAAAGTCTATAATGATGATTACATTGATGATCATTTTTACAAAAGAATTTGGGTTTATGTCGGCCAGTCATATAAGCTAAAGAATATTCTTCTTGATATTCTGAAAGAGTTCGCGCCACGCACTGAAGAATTCAAAGACAAGAATGAGGACCAATTAACTGAGGTCATACGTAATTTTGTGGTTGAAGGAGGTAAATATCTCATTGTCTTGGACGATGTGTGGGAAGCAGAAGTTGTGGCTTTTGTCAAGAAAGTTTTCCCGAACAAGAAAGGTCGCTGCGACCGAATCATGGTGACCACTCGCCTAGACCGTGTGGCTAACGCTAAAGGCGCAGTTCCTCACGTTCTTGAACCTTTGTCTCCAGTGGAAAGTTTTGAGTTGTTAGAAAACAGAGTTTTTGGCAAAACAAATAAGTGTCCTATTGAGTTAAAAGAATACGGGGAGAAAATTGTAAAACATTGTGGTGGTGTACCACTTGCAATAGTGGTGATTGCAGGAGCTTTGGGAGGTTGTATGGACGAAAGCGAATGGCGAGTAGTTGAGAAAAATGTGGGGAAACATCTTATGAACAAAAACGACCATAAAAGCTGCTTGAAATTTGTTGAAACGAGTTATAATCATTTGCCTACAGAGAAAAAGGCGGCTTTCTTGTATTTGGGAGTTTTTCCTCAAGGCTTTGATATCCCTGCTTGGAAGCTGATTCGCTTATGGATTGCTGAGGGACTGATAGAGTCCGACTTTGAAGGCAGTGAAATCGAGGAGATTGCAGAGTCTTACTTGAGCGACTTTGCCAGTAGGAATTTAGTGATGGTGATGCAGAAAAAATCTAACAGTACTCAAATCAAAACATGTCGTGTTCACGACATGTTGCATGAGTTCTGCAATGTTGAGGCTAAAAGAATAAGTCTCTTTCAACAAGTAAATCTCAAACCTGGTGTTCGAGTTTTTCCTTCTATAGAAGATCCTAGTACTTCTCGTCGATTATGTATTCAATCATCTATTCCGTATAATTTTATCCCTAAAGATAGAATTGTACAACATGTTAGGTCTCTCTTATGCTTTTCCTCAACACAAAAGCAAATCGACTTGACTAATCTAGAGGTCGACCTCATCCCCAGTGCATTTCCACTCATCAGGGTGTTGGACATTCAATCCCTCGTATTTGAATTCTCTGAGATATTTTATCGGCTATTTCACTTGAAGTATATTGCTATCTCAGGTGAATTCCCGGTCCTTCCTCCACTCATTGGTAATTTTTGGAATTTACAAACCCTTATAATTCATACCTCACATTCCACCCTTAAGATAGCAGATGACATTTGGAAAATGCTACGATTGAGACATCTGCACACCAACATTCCTGCAAAATTGCCGCCCCCTCCTACCCAAACAAGCAAAAGTTCTTGCCTACAAACTCTTTCTAAGGTTACACCAGACAGTTGCAAGGAAACTATGCTTGCGAAGGCTTGTCATCTCAAAAAATTGGGCATCGAAGGGAGATTGACATCTCTTCTTGGAACTAACAAGGGTGGATTCGACAGTTTCGAAAAGCTAAGATGCCTGGAACATTTGAAATTGTTGAACGATATTGATTGTATTGAAGAGCTTCACCTTCCTCCAAAATTCTTCAGTTTACAACAAACACTGAAGAAGTTAACTTTGTCAAGTACATATTTTGAGTGGAGTGAGGCAGATACGTTGGGACAATTGGAATGTCTTAAGGTCCTAAAGTTGAAAGACAATGCATTCACAGGAGAGACGTGGAAGCCGAAGAAAGGAAGTTTTAGCAAGATCCAAGTCCTGTGGATTGACCGGGCAGAAAGCTGGGAAACTTGGGACGCATCAAATCATCCCTTCCAAAATCTTAAGCGCCTTGTTCTTCTCTCCTGTTATAAGCTTAAGGCTGTGCCACATGAGCTGGCTGATTTACCTTACCTTCAAGAAATGAGGCTGGAGCGCACATTCGAAGCAGTCAATTCTGCAAAAGAGATCAAAAGAGAGAAACTAGGGAAGCAAGCTCCTGGAAGCAATTACAAATTCAATCTCATTATATTCCCTCAAGGAGATGCCAAGGCCATACAATGAAGTTGAAATTAAGGTCAGTAAAATTCATTCATTTTGTCTTGAAATGATTTTACATCTTCATCATAAATTGTGTTGGCCGTTTTCATAAAATAAGTTACTTTCTAGGTTGTACCAAATGTCGCCTTTTTTTGCCAATCCATGAATTCAATAAGTACTCCACCGTAGTATATAATTTTGGTGCCATCTACTTCATCATCATGATAACCAGTTTTTAAAACTTGTTACTACTAGTCCATATGTTGAAGTTTGGCAAAATGCCAAAGTCCCACATTGGTTGGGAGTTAAGTTTGGGGGGGA